CCTTATAAAAAACCATAAAATAAATATTTATATTTGTACTTCCTAAATAAATATTTTTCTGTACTTTACTTTAATTTACTTTAATTAAGATTTAAAACTATATTAACATTATATTATACAATTATATTAGCAATTATATAGTATTATATTATACAATTATATAATATATATAACTTATATAATTATATAACTATTAAAAATACCTTTTAAGACATGTTACCAGGACCCAAATTGACTTATTTTTGTAAAATGAAAATTTAAATATTTTAACCTAAAACTTTTTACAAATCTTTATCATTATGTGACAATTGATCAGGTCCAAGTACATTTGGAATGCACTTGCGGACAAAAAAATATAAAAAAGGCATTATACATTAAACTACATTAGAATACTTATCCAAATTATGAGCATTCTAATGATACCCTTTTGAGTATTCATATAACAGATGGATGAAAGATTTAAAGAGAAAAAAAGATTAGATTTAGAAAATGGAAGTAAAAAAAATAAATAATATAATAGTTAGTAGAAACAATTTTTTGTAATGCACTGAATATATGGTATTCATAAGAGGTACCATATTATGAATATCTCTTATGAATACTATATATGGTAGTGAAACACAATCTGTAAAGTAGGAAATTCATTAAAAGTGTTTCTATCAACCAATATAAGATTATCAGCATAGTTTTGATGATGATTAGCAGAAAACAAGGTTTTACAAGTTTTTCGGGTGTTTTTTTTCTTCCAACCACTAGTGCAAACTCTAAGCTGTCACAAAGACCAACTACTTATTCTAACCAACTAAAGTTGACCATCAGACCTGAATGCACATAAGTTTTTATCAAGACAGGAATATATTGTTGCATCATCAGCAAATAACTCACTTTAGAGGTATAGTTATCAGGATGGTCATTAATGAAGATGAAAAAAAAAACGTTGTGGTACTTTAGAGTTTAAAAGAAACAAAGAAGAGTGTTGTCGATTAAGGACAGGTTCAATACTGCAATTAAAGAATAAAAAGATTTGATGTTTTTGAAAAAGACCAATATGCAAGACTTTAGTAAAAATCCATAATAATTTTCAGAAAGTAACTTATTAGACTCAATATGAGACATTTAAAGTTTGTTGATAAAAAAACTAAAAGATGCTGATTATAGCAAAAAGACAGTTCAGAAAATAGTTAGATGAGTCAAAGCAATTTCTTTTTAAAAATAGAAACAACATTTTTCTAGGATTTTTCAGGCCGCAAGATTCCATAATTTTCAGCAATTGTTAAATAGTTTAGAAAAAAGAAAAATTCTAAAAAACAAGGCTGCAAGACTGTCGCAGGAGAGTTGTCCAGACTGCAAGCTGCAGAACAATTTTAGGGAGATAAAATTCAATTGAAAATTTTTTACAAAAAATATTGTAAAACTATATGTAAATGGTAGATTGACACAATTTGGTGGAGAAAATGGTATTTTATGTTTAACACTTTTTACTAATACACATGCATATATACATACAAACGAAGGCTTGACTGTTTTTTTCTGTCTTTTATCCTCATCCCAAAGAACCTAAAAATAAAAAATGATAGCATGAAAAAATAAATTTAACTCTCCTTTCCAATTACTTAAATTTTTACAGTATTTATACATTTTATATTACTTCATAGTATTTATAAATTTAACATTATCTCATAGTATTTATACAATATAATAATATCTCATAGTATTAATACATTTTATATTACTTTAATATATTTTTATTTTATTTATATATTTACACCTTTTTTAAGAGTTTCTTTAAAATTCTGCTGCATTTTCTGTGATTCTCTAACAGATATAATATATAATATTATACCTCGGTCAGATATTTGTTCACAAATTGATTTAGAGGAACTTAAATTAATCTGTTTCACTTAATAAACTGTAGTTTCTGTAGTAAAATATTGCTCGGTCTTTCTTTTTTTAGCGGGAATGGGGGGGGGGGGGGGGAAGTCAAAAGTATATTCATCAAAAAGTATATACAGTCAATAGTATCATCATCAGGAGTATCTGGATAGTCTGATATATTGGAAGCAATTTCAGATACTGCATTTTTGTTTGAAGAAGAGAAATTACATGCACTAGTGCTTGAGGTATTTCCTCTGTCAACCATTGATGGATGCACTTTATAAAGTTGTTGCATAGCAAATTCTCTTTGTGATTTAATCTGCATTTCCTAAAAACTTTTATTTTCAATGGGCAACCAGATACCATCTGTTTTTATTTTATGCTAATCTATTTTTGTAATAGTAAACACATTTACAAATTTAACTTGAGCATATTTCTTATGGTATTTCAAAAAGTTATCGTATTTTTTAATTAATGCATCAATCTTCCTCACTATTGATTTTTCTGTTAAGAGTTGAAAACTTAAATTTTCCTAAAATTTCTTTAATTCAACAGCTATCACTTTCATTCTAACATTTGATTTTTCATTTTTTGAAAGAAATTGATACCTTCCAATAACTGTAATTTCATTTGGCATTCAAGATAAGCCATCAAGTGGGTCATTGATTGTTGGTAACAATTTGTCTTATAAAACATTCTTTTGGTATACTTTCAAGTTTTTTCTCCAGGTACTAGAATTTTTTCAACATCTTGGCTCTTCATATATGATATTTTCCTGAAAGCAGAAACAGATAATACACCAAAGAGTTTAATATTAATAGTTTCCAAAGAAATAAAACTTGCTCATTTCTATAGTGCCACACTCCTAATGAAATATTTCAATCTGTGTTCGGTGTAAGGTTTTTGTAAAGGAAAAGCAAAGTTGTACTTTATATCTCATATTGGCACTATTGCTCATCGTGTAGTGCTAGAGAACTGTTAAAATTTATAAAAAATTTGAAATTCATAATCTTAATATATATCAAAATTTCCAAAATTAACATTTTTCAATCCAACGCTATTGAAGTAGGTGAGCCATTCAAAGAAATACCATGTTCAGAAGAGGCAAATGTAACTGACGATGTAGAACTAATTGAAAAGCATACTGCTGAGGGTAACATAGAAACTGAAGTTTTTTTAGTAAATTCATAAAAATTTGTAAAAGTTGTAAGACCCTGGGTTTGTTGTTCTTTATGTAAAGGAGCAGCATTTTGTTTACCATGCAAATTATTTCCTTATTTAGGAAACATTGCAGTGTTGGTATCTGACGGTTGTAAATATTAAAAAAAAACATAAGAAAATTCTACCATCCCATAAAGAATTTAATGACAATAACAAAGCCATGATGATCAACCTCAGGCCTTGCGATAAAGCATCGGGCGATGTAAATTTTACGTCGTCCAAGAACGATTTTGCGTGTAGCTAGGGCTATTTGCGTCGAGCAAAAAATTTTTTGTTTGAGTATATTTAAAGATATTTTTGAGCGGAATTTTAATGAAGTAATTTACGATTATTTTAACATTTATTAAAGTATTTTAAAAACCGCTCGCAGTTGATATAAAAGTTTGAATTACAAAGAAATTAAATATGCTCATTATTTACAAGTAGAAAAAATTCAGATTAAAAAAATTTTAAATTTTTTTTAAGCTAACATTTTAATAAAATTATTCAGCAATAGCAAAGTTGTCGATAAAATTGAACAAAAATACTTTCTTTTAGTTTTAGATTTTTAACATAAATAATTATTTTACGGGGGTTTGTTAGGTTTTAAAATTATTCCATTGATGTAAAAATATTTATTAACTTAATTAATATTTATAAAAATATTTATTAATTTAATTACTCTTAAAGTAATTAAGAGTAATTTCGAGGAAACGTTTTAAAAATTGGTAAGCGCAAATAAATAAAAAAATAAAAGGATTAATATTAAAACGTATTTTACTTGATTCAATAAAAAGTACAGCTATTAAAATTTTTGTGTAAAGTAACTCGAAAAAAATTACTTAAATAATAACAATCGTATTTTTGTTAAAAGTTACTGAAACTCAACGAAGCGTGCTCAAGAACAGCTGCTGAAAAATAGAACGTCAATAGTTTTTCAAATAATTTTTAATAATAATTTTTAAGAATAATTTTTTTGCTGAAATATGTCTTTTATACCTATAAGATTTTTATTCTAACATTTTATTTTGAACATTTAAACATTTTATTTTGAACATTTTACTTGAAATAAAATTCCTTGTAAACTTTAAAAATCTATTCAAAACGTTCGTTAAAGTTTTTTAGTAATACGAGTGATATTGCTTATAAACTGCTTTATGAAAATAAATAAAAATAAACAAATAAATATTATATAAAATTGCTAGTAAAAATATTAGCTATTGCACAGTTTTTAATCGTACAATATTAAAATTACCAGTTTATTAATCGCTGACTTTTTAAAAAGAAAAAATAATTATTTGAAAAACTTTAAATTACATATTTGAGAAAATCAAATATTAGCATATTTTATAATCTTTTTTAAATGTTTAGTTATGTTTTTTATTCATTTAGTAGACAAAACGCGTCAAACGTCGAGAAAATAAACCAATGTTTTTACATTTTAAATAACGAAACATTCCAAAACATTTTTAAATAATAACATTTCTACATTAATGATTTAAAGTAGTTTTGCGGTAATTAAGTAAATTGGTGCAGTTAATGTCGATAAATATGAAAAGCAAATAAAAAGAATTTAATGAAGTAAAAAATCACGTCATGTTTATGCGTCGCCCAGTTTTTATTCATCACAAGGCTTGCAACCTCACATAAAAATCGAATAAGAGATTAAAAGAACTAGAGTTAAAAGAACAGGTTACTGAAACTGCAAAATATTACTACAATATTTTAAAATGGGTAGCAGCAGCAATAAAATTTTATCTGAAAGAAACTTGCCACTACGAGGTCATAACAAAAAGTGGGGCTCTCCACACAATAGAAACTTTATGAGTCTGACTTAACTGATTTCTGATTTTAATCCTTTTTTAAAAAAACATCTAAAAAGTGTCTGTAGTTACTAAGTAACTGGGGCCATGAAATCTAGTACTTACTTATCTAAAACTGTATATGAAGAGATAGTGCAACTAATGGCTGAACTTGAAAAAAGAAGTGTGTATACAAGGATATTGGAAATAAATTCAAATTTTTGATGAACCGAGGCAAAAGAATTTTTGATAAACCGAGGCAAAAGAATTTTAGTTATTGAACTTAAGTTAATGGAGCCCATTATATAAAAATAATATTGAAGAACTATTTAGTGAATACAGTCATTTTCAGCCTTATTTAGATATGGAATGCTTTAAACAAAATGATTGTATCACTGCTTCCGAAATGTTTACACTTATTTTTGAAAAAAATCTTATACATATACATATATATAAATAAATATATATATACATATATATATATATATATATATATATATATATATATATATATATATATATATATTGATAAATTTCTGAATGTTTATACAGATCTTAAAATTTACTTAACAATAACCAATTGTTGCTAACAGTAATAACCGATAAGTTTTATTGCGCATTAGATAAAGGTGGAGAGGTTAAGGCCATTGCTCTTGACATTTCTAAAGTGTTTGATAAAGTTTGGCATGCTGATTTTCTCCATAAACTTTCTTCTTACAGTGTATCTGGAAACATCTTTAAGATTATTGAATCCTTCCTTTCCAATCGTAGTATAAAAGTTGTCCTTGATGGACAGCACTCTTCTTCTTATTCTATAACCTCAGGGGTTTCTTAAGAATCAATCCTTGGCCCTATACTCTTTTTAATTTACATTAACAATCTTCCAGATATTTTCACATTTAAGGTGGCATTGTTTGCTGATGATACTACCAATTGTTCTTGTCACGATAAGAAGCCAACTCCCTCTGATTGATTGCAGGGGGCATTTGAGCTTGAAAGGGACTTCTGCTAAAACTTGAGGCTCACAGTGGCTGGTGAACTTTAATTCAGATAAAACTCAATCAATTCAGCCGATCATTATTGCAATAATTTAGACATTTTTGAATATATATGAATGTAATGTATTTATGAATGGTAATGTACTTGATGGGTCATCTACACTTCATCTTCTATGATTAACTCTTACTTTTGATCTTTCTAGGAAACCTTATATTAAATCCGTTGCAAAATTAGTATCTGCTAAAGTTGCATCTTTTTATCGAGCTCGACACTTTCTTACTCTTGATTCTATTCTTTATCTCTATAAATCTCAAATCTGGCCTTGTATGGAATACTGTTGCCATATCTGGGGTAGATCTTTTAATGATGACCTTTCTCTTTTAGACAAGGTGCAAAAAATTTCTTTTTTCTACAAATACTATAATGGGCACTGCTCTAAAGAGCTAGCGTCTCTTGTGCCATCTACTAAAATTCATTCCCGTGTTACTCGTAATTCAATTAAGTCTCATCCTTTTTCTGTGACTGTTCCTAAGTGCTCCAAAAACTCTTATTCCTCTAGTTTTTTCCCTCGAACATCAGTTCTTTGGAATTCGCTTCCTTTATCTTGCTTTCCTGACTCATGTAATTTGCAATCTTTTAAGTCGTCTGTCAATCATTAACTTGCTCTACAATCTTCATCTT